CCAGGACTCCCAGGTCCCTCTCGGCAGAGCTGCTTTCCAGCAGGTCAGCCCCCAGCCTGTACTAGTGCATGGGGTTCAACTTCCCCAGGTGCAGCACTCGACACTTGCCCTTGTTGAACTTCATCAGGTTCCTCTCCACCTAATTCTCCAGCCTGTCCAGGTCCCACTGAACGGCAGCGCAGCCTTCCGGCGTACCAGCCACTCCTCCCAGTTTTGTGTCATCAGCGAACCTGGTGAGGGTACACTCTGTCCCCTCGTCCAGGTCATTGATGAACAAGTTGAACAAGACGGGGCCGAGTACTGAGCCCTGGGGAACTCCACTAGCTACCAGCCTCCAACTAGACTCTGCCCCACCTATCAGAACCCTCTGAGCCCTGTCGTTCAGCCAGTTCCCAATCCACCTCACTGTCCACTCATCCAACCCACACTTCTTGAGCTTCCCTATGAAGATGTTGTGGGACACAGTATCAAAAGCCTTGCTGAAGTCAAGGTTGACAACATCCACCGCTCTCCCCTCATCTACCCAGCTGGTCATGCCATCATAGAAAGCTATCAGATTGGTCAGGCATGATTTCCCCTTGGTGAATCTGTGCTGGGTACTCCTGATCCTCTTTTCCTCTACTTGCTTGGAGAGGACACCCAGAATGAGTTGTTTGATTTAAGAGCAGACAAAGTTCCACTGAAGATTATTAAACACAATAAGCTACAATCTCACAAGATGTCCCTGAGCTATAAAAGTGGAAGCTCGGTGAGTTGTAGTTTTGATGATGTATCACTTCCTCTATCCCTATGCTTAAAGCATCCCTTTTTGACTGCTGTTGAAGATATTAGGCTAGATGGACCTTTGGTCTGATGCAGGGCTATTCTTAGACATTACAAAATGCTACATGAATTGTACAGTGTATTATCTTACACCTGCTGCAGTAATTTACCAAGTTTCTGAATTGACTATGAAAGATAATGATATTTAAATACACAGTTAAAAATTAATTGAACTTCAGAAATTGTTTCAATAAAGCAGTATGAAAAGGCCCTGAAAAAAAAAAAGAATACTTTACCTCATAGCCCCATCAAATGATCTCCCAAACTCAGAACGGCACTTAAAAGTCAAATGTTTCTTAGTGTACTTTCAGAAAGTGCAAGACAGACATGTTGGAGCACCCACATATATCCACCAGGACAGTAGTATTAAAGATGCTCTTTCAGTTCTTAAAATTGGCAGTATAATCAAAGAACAGAGATCACAATTTAACAAGCTAATATTTTATTGCTCTCCAGATATTTTCATATCATGCACACTACTGATCAGCTTTTCCAGCTATCTGATACACTCATGAATTTGTGAAGTCTGTTCAAGTTTAAGAATCTCTTACTTTTCCTCAGTTGATATTTATTTGATAATATATTCCTAGGATTCTTACCTCAATATTTTTTATTTTCCCCTCTCTTTTGACATCCAAGTCCTCATATAGTGTGAAGTACATTTTTACACAAAAAGAAGCTCCAAAGAATCTGTACTATTCCTATAGGGCACAAATTATGTTCCTAAAAACCATTCATTCATGTTAGGGTGTATTTCATAAATGGTGGCACTATGTAATGGGACTTACGAACCAACACCATATGACCACACATTAATCAACAGGCAGCACGCTGAATAAATGAAGCAATCTTCATTATTAACAGATGGTAAATTCTAGCACTTGCTATTTTCTGGGTTGCAAAGGGTAAGGACAATATAACAACAAAGTTCAAACAGCAGTTATTACTTCATAAGAAAATATCACAGGGCCCAAATCTGCAAGAATCTTTTTTTAAAATCTCAATTTACATATAATCTAGTCTTCAAATTTAATCTTTTTCCCTTGGAATGCTGTAATTTGAGACATTTGTTCCCGGCGTCTCTTGCTTGCTTCCCATGATGGATGAAGTGGCTGCTCCCAACGTGGTTTCTTGTTGTCACATTTAACACCTGCAGCTTTTGCAAATGGTTGCTTCTTGAGCTGTGGTTCCTTTTTAAGAAGAGCTGTGTAAGAAGTACAAAATAAAACATTAATTACATCATGAACCTTCATAAAAATATGCTAAAACTACTTTGGAATTGCAGATATTTTCAAGAATTTCTTAATGAGCCACGGGGAACACATTCATCTGAATGTTCATAGCAAGATTTCCTCATCTTGCAGTCCTGTTAATTGTCACTTGGTAGACTGCAGAAGTTAAGATTTATTATTACTGACCACATTCAAAATTTGTGTAGACAAATATTCAGCACAGTCTCAACTTTTTCCTTCCCAATAAACCAATGAGATATTACACAAAACTCAATATGACTGAAATGATACCCTTAATCCAGTGAATTCCAGAATGGACCATATACTATAAATGCAATAAAATATTGAAGGAGCTATTAAAGGAGTTACTCATGAGACAAACTCCTTGTTAAATACCATAATCTGGTACCTTTATCTGTGCATAGGTAATACTAACTGCTCAACATGAAGACCGATGGAAAAGCACTTCTCTGTGTAAGTCCTACTTTAAATTATTTCTAATATTCAAAAATAGAAAATAGCAAATAATATTCACAGATTAAAATGAAAGCTCAACAATTTGGCCATTTTAACAAAAAGTGTTAAAATACGTGTCACAAAATTGAAATGAAACAAAAACCAGCCTATCATAATTAGACTATGGAGGCAACAAAATCTCAAGATGTTTTTACTCTTATAACTTTACCAGATTAAGTAATACATACCTGTTCTTCCATTTTTGAGAGGCTGATCTTTAGTATTTCTAAAAATAAAAAATAGAATTTAGGATTTTTCAAGAAACTTGTGAGATGACAACCACCTGTGAATAAAGAACAGTCACCACCAAAACACTTGTGCAATGACTTTTCAAGCGTAACAGGCTAAACCCTTATACATTGTTTCCTCTTCATTAATAAAGAAGTAAAAAAGAGGTATTCAGTAATGATTTAATTTGGATGCAGGTCTAGTTAGGAATCCTATGTATATGTCAGTTCTCATGTGAATATGAAAAATACTTGAGTGTCAAGAAAGCACAAGAAGACTGCAGAGTAGTTTATGTGAAAAAGTTCTAAGCTGTGATTGGCTGAAATTTTCCTTCTTTGGTAAGGGCTACTAAAAATCGCAACAATTTCCATTACTGGGAAGGAAGGAGGGAATGGAGAACATAAAAAGAGGAAAAAGTTTACCTTCTCCTGTTTTGAGATTTCTGATTAGAGGTAGACAAAGAACTGCAGAACATTGATTCTAGCTTGCTTGCTTTTGCATGTGGCTTTCCTTCTTCCATGATCAAATCTTGCGCTGTCCCAGGCGCTGTGTTCTTTTCTTTCTTCACTACATTTTTCTGAAGTCTATCCTTTTCTTTTGCTGAAGAAAGATCAGTAACTGCTGCTACCTTTTTCTTTCTTTTTACTTTGCCGATGAAGAAATCATCATCACTGTCATTGTCAGAATCTGATGACTGGTTATAAAACCTCTCTTCAGTACTATCATCAAAGTATTCCCCTTCACTAGAATGTTCCTGGTCACCATCATCATTAATTATTTCTTTTGTTGCATTTAATTTGTTCATGCTTTTATTTTCTTTCCTTTTTTGATAGCCAAGTTTCTTTCCTGTTTTATTCTGAGTGACTGCTTGCATTTCTACTGCCTGAAATGAAGATTTTTCTGGAGCATACGCTCTCTCCATTTCCACAGTTTTCTTCTCAGATTCACTATCACACAGTTCTTCAGCCACCCTGTCAGTTTCTATTTTCATACTCATTTTTGTTTTCCGTTCACATCCTTGATGTTTTTGAGCTTGTTTAGGAGCTTGGTCATCCAAATTGCTACTGAAATGTTGTGCTGATTTAGGCTGTTCTTCTGAATTAGCCTTATTTGAAGGAGTGGCTTTGGCTGGGTTCTTCCTTGCATCCTTAAAAGCTTTTACAGCAGCTATACAAGGGGCAGAAGAAAAATCTTTTGTTGCATCTACACATGAGTTTAGATAAGTGATTTTAATAAAATAAAACATTTTTGCAAGTTAAATATGTTGTACTGAGTAAGCATATTTTTAATATCCTTATTAATCATTTGCTGAACACATGGGGCAAGGAATACCTTAAGAGTACAGCACCAACAAAAGTGAGGAAAAGAACTTGAAATAATTACTAACTAAATACACTGTTAAACTTGGGTTTAACCGTGAACTTGTCTTTCAGCAAATAATCTGCAGCTGATAATCGTGTTCATTTAGGGCATTACTTCTTGTGTAAAAACAGCAAAACCCCAGTAAATTGCTCAGATACAATGAAATGGGTATTTGCTCTGTTATGAACAAAGTAACTTCGTGACATTATTACTAGGCCCTGACCCTTTTTAACATCAATTTTAGTTGGAAAATCTGAGTTTAAAGAGAACAGGAGAGAACCTAAAGAACCAGGAAAGATTCCCTAAGGATTCTGGGCACAGTTTCCAGGGAAGTTTAAGGGAATCATTTGCAAAACCTTTTAGCTGCCTTTGGAAATGCAGTTGTAATGCTCCTTTTACGTTTGTATCTGCATGTTATTATACTCATTGCCAGTTTAGTCCTATTTAATTTAAAGAGATACTCCATTATATCCATTCAATTTTTAAAGTTCCCATTATGAGCCCTGTTTGTCCTACACCCTGTATCTTAAATGCCGTATAGCATACTGTCATGTGTAAGCCCATTTCAAGAAATATAAATGACTACAAGCTTGTAACACTTGTTTCAATGCAGCTAGTTAAGGTCATTACAGGAGCTTTTTGGCTTTTTACTTTTCTTTCTACACTCGTCATTCATGTCAGGAATATATAGGAACAAGGTAACACACCAATAAGCTACTGAAGACATAAACAAGTTAATATAGTATCTCATACCTTTAAGTTCAACAAATCTGGGTTTCAAGATGGGGTGTGTTGCAAGTCTTGCAATGGCTCGCTCAGTTGCAGTACAATTTGGCTATACAAAATAAATTCAAAGCATGAAGTCAAGAGAACAGTGAATACTTATACAGGTCTGTATCAGTTATCCTGCAGTGCACACTAGTGTGATTCTGGACTATTAACTGAGAAAGAGGAAAAGCTTATAACACTATAACATCTGAATACTTCTTATTTTTCCTGTATTACTGTCATTCTAAATGAGGAAAAATCTGACTGCTCAGGCATTGACAGAAATATAACAGACATGTAAATCTGCTATTTCTCAGGTACTGAATAGGAATTACATGATTTTATTTTAAAAGCGTACCAGACACATCTTTCAGAGCCAACATGCTGCTTTTACATTCACTATTTCTTACATGTGCAAAGCAAATTAATGAACCCCTTGAATAAAGAACATCATATTGGTAGAAGGCATTCTGCATGAAGGAATACAGCAGCTTGCAAGAAACGCAGCATGGATGCCATAGAAGTAGGCAAAATGACATAGCATGTATTGAAGGAATATCAACCAAACATGGTTGAGAGGCAAGGTCTGACCTGATCTTAAAGACAAACAACCTTGAATCTGATGTGATAAAATACTGGAACTGTAGACTGATTCAAAGAACAAGTATGAACTTCATGCTTTAATTTGAAAAAAAGGAGAGAAGTAGGAATTGCTTCAATTTCTGACTTCCTCTTCTATATATTAGAAGTCACAGGTATGACACACTGTAAAAGCTATCTCATTTTCAGGTTCTTGCCATCACTCTGCCTGAAGAACAAAATGAGAGGTATCTAAGACTTTTCTAAAGACAGCTTTGTCTTCTGTTTGAAGGGAGGGGAAGGGGGTGTAACAGGCTTGTAAAACACAAATTTAGCAGGAATATTTCTTAAAGCCTGCTGTGGAATTCTTTGGGAGAGAGGAGAAAAGACACACCTTCCTCCATTCATCCTAGTGATACTGTAATGGATTTAAATTGTTGCTATCTGTGATTTGAGCTATATGCTGCAGGAAGTACTACAGCAGAAGTGGCCTGAACCAGCAGATGATGAGCCTTGTAAAGAACCAGGCAAATGCCCCGTGACCCAACTGGTGCTAGTTTTGGTGCCCAACAACTCACCACATGTTGCCTCCCCTGTCCTGAGGAACCATGGCAACAGATGGAACCCACGTCACAGGTATCTAAATGGCAGGGAATATGGGGTGGAGACAGTACTGGCTCTGCCCAGGGATGGAGTTAACTTTCTTCATAGCAGCCAAGGTGGTGCTGTGCTTTGGATTTGTGACTAAAATTTCAGAGTTGGTAACCCACCAAGATTTTAGTTATTGCTGAGCAGCGCTTGCACAGCATCAAGGCCTTCTCTGTTTCTCGCTCTGCCCTCCCAACAAGCAGGTGGGGGTGGGCAAGAGGCTGTGAAGGAAATACACTTGGAACAGCTGATCCAAATTGACCAAAAGGATATTCCATTCCATATCAAGCTGTCCTCAGCAATAGAAGTTCAAGGAAAGGAAAAGAGGATGTTTGTGGTTATAGCATTTGTATTCCCAAGTAACCGTTATGTGAAATGAAGCCTTGCTTTCCGGGATGTGGCTAAACATTTGCCTGCCGATGGGCAGTAGTGAGTAAATTCCTTATTCTCCTTTGCTTGCACACAGAGCTGTGCTTTACTTATTGAACTGTCTTTATCTCGAGCCACAGTTTTTCATCACTTTTGCTCTTCTGATGCTATCCCCATCCTGTGGGGGTGGGGTGAGTGAGCAGCTGCTGTGTGCTTAGTTGTTGGCTAGGGTCAAACCACAACACAAACACTACCTAATACATCAGCAATGCATGTTTAAAGTATCTGATTTGCTTGACATAAGAGTGTTCAGTAGGGAATCTTGCTTGTTTGTATATACATTTTCTTCCAGCAGAATTATGCCACTTAGTATAAACATTTATGTATTCATTGCATAAAGATAGATGGACACTTCATGCCAACAGTGCAGGAGAGTCACTTTCATTGCTTTGGTCTGAAGGAAAACAGAGCAGAAGACGACACTACAGCTCCAGCAAAGCTCATACTTATAAATGCAGAAACATTTAATTGGTTTGCAAAACCTAAATCTTGTTCCTCAACCAATGCAAGGCAAACTGCATTTGTATTTCTTTTGCCATAGCTCTAGAGCTTACAAAATATACTCTGGGTATGTCTGTTCGTATTTCATGTTTGAAGTGCAGAGCATCTGGGAATTCTAGTACTTTCCTTTCTCCTCAAGTCTCTGCTATTATGACGTTACTTCTTCAGGTCAAGAAAAACTGGAAAAATGTTTTCTCTGTAGACTCTGTGCAGAATTATGAACACTGGCCAGAGGAGATGGGTCAAAAGATGGGTCCATTTCCAAGGGCCACAGACTGGCTTACTTTCAGGCTAGCCTAGCTCTGAGAACTTGAAATCTGAGTTTTGATCCCCATGTGACAGTGCTGTATGCTGCCACCAGATTCCTGGGACAGCAAGCTCACATTTCTGAAGATCAAACACTATTTTCTTTGGAGATTTTTCTATAGCTGGAAAATCTATTTCTGAACTTAATTAATACACTTTTTCCCTCAGCTACTTCCTGTGGGTTTTGAAAGAATATGCCATGAAGTTCAGAAAGCAGCAGCAGCTTCTGTGCAACATCTGGTGTCCTTTAATTCAAATATTTATAGAAAGGGTTTAAGCATATACATGCCAATCCATATGGAATAACCACATTTTTTTCTTATAGCAAAATACTTCACAACCACTACTCACGCTGACAGACAGCAGCCAACAAACATACAATATGACATTCACATTCTTTAAAATTTCCCATTTTCCTCATCTTTTTGGCACATCCAATGCTCAATTTATTTTTCCTCAAGTATTTTCCAATGTATAAAATCTTGGCAGAAAATAGAACCTAATAGAAAAACATCAACTGTATTTACATCAAGAACGCCCTTTCCCCCTCCTCCTGCCCCCAGTATGTTTAATTATGCAGATATTGGAATTGTACACATTTATTCCCACATATTCCTGCTACTTCTTGTATTACTTTACACTAATAATTTTTTTTCACATAAGAATGCCCTAGTACTTTCCACAGGAGTGTTCTCCCTCACTCACTCTGCAGCTGAGGCACTGCAAAGTGAACAAAGCAACCCAGCAGTGTATAGTCACGCTTTACAGTGAGAAGTTGTAAGCTACACGCAGAACCACCTGAAAGTCAGTGAATCCTCTCAAACTTTTTATTTTTGGTAAGTGATGCATTATTTCTGCATACAGCATTAAAGAAGTCTATCTATCATCACTGACATGTTTCATTAAACTCCACGTGGACATTTAACTGAATTAACTGCACTGATCTCTGTATTTTCAAATCTCTAAAAATGAAAATAAACCCAAACTCCATAAACAAGCATTCTTCATCCTGAATGGCAGATACATGCACAGATGCACAAACCTCAAAACATAACTTGTCACTTATAGCATAACAAAGCAGCAGTTGTGTAACTTACACACGTACAAAGACACGTTCACGCCCTACACAAGGGTGACAAACTTTGTACAATGTGGCAATGATTGGGATGAGAATGGACATTACAAGCTTGCTGAGATAAGAACAGATCCACAATGCAAGTTTTGACATGTGCTGGAATAGGTGTCAGAAAAAGTATGGAATGGCTCTGAGAGCTGGCAGCACTGGGTAAAAAAAATATCAGGCAGAAGTTGTATGGGTAGTACCTGTTCCATAAAACACAGGTGATAAAACGAGAACAGGAAACTGAGTGTCTCAGGGCCTTGGGGCAGATGGGATTTGCAGGATTGGAAAGGGATACCTTGTTAGGATGCTTGAGACAGTAGAGCTTCAGGAAGAATTAAAGGGCAGAAACCTGGGATTAGCTCAGGAACATGAAATGGAGACTTCTGACCATCACTTCATTCTGATCACTCCTCTTGTTCAAGTCTACTTTCGTTCATATCCTCTCTTCATACAATCATTAACAGGAAAGGAAGAGGTCATACTTCTACTCTTCAGTTGCTTTTTGTACAAGAGGGGATTGCGCTGTTACAGGCCCCACCAGGAACAAGACTGCTACTAGAAGAGCGTAACTACTACAAAGACTGCTACTGGAATTTCAGCTGGGTCAGAGCACAGTGCTACCAAACTGGTAATGCTTGGTGGCCCTGCATCTCTCACTTAGATAATCTCTCAGTCATTTAAGATAATGGCACTCAGATGGAGACTGACAGAAATGCTGCTGACAGGTACGCAGTACGCTGCAAAAGCTGTGACACAAAAAGTAACCTTGAAGCATGTCACACTCAAGTTTCTAAACTAACAGGAAATACAGTTTAATGTTGAGTATAACAACAGCCTGATTTTAAGCAAAACAATAGCAGAGGTAATGCTAACCAGGGCAAGCATTAAACTAACAGAAAATCCCCAATTCTAGGCCAGAACAAGATGTCATTGCAATACCCTTTGTGGCAGCTTAGAAGAGCTGTCTCTCTACTAAAAAAAAACCCCAAAAAACCTGTAAATCCACACGTTCCACCAGAGCTCTAACTAGTTACAGCTGTCCTTCATAATAGCAGATGTGGTTAATGTGGAGTCACTGGGTGGCTGAAGGTGCCAGATCATGGCTGCTACCCAAGTCCATCCCATGACCTCATACTGCTTTGGAGTAAGACCCTTGAGAAAAGTTACTTTCTGACTGTGAAATGCTGCTAGTTCTCCCTCTTCCTTTATGTCTGTAAGACATACAGTATGTGATTTGCAACCATCAGACATGGTAAAGATTTTGGTATGAGAGGTTATTGGTACCACTTGTCGCAACATTGCTGTCTCTCAGCTCCTGACAGCAAGAGGTTGTTTGTTGACTGTGATGCGTTGACCCTGGCTACACGCCAGGTAGGTACAAAGTGGCCAAAGCCACTCTATCACTCCCCTCCTCAGCTGGACAGGGGCATGTTGTCTCTGCCAACCCTTCCTCTTCAGGGGGAGGCCTCCTCACGCTCTTC